TAACGACTATGCACGAACACGACACGTGGCATAGCGCTCATAGCAGCTAGAGGCAAAGCTAGCTGGCTAGCACTATTATTGTCTATATATATTATACTACGCAACGAATACTTGCTTAAGTATTCTTGTGCTTACCTTTTGGTATAGGCAGAGAAGTCACGTAGTATTGACTTCGAGGGCAGGGCGCCTACTCTGTTACAGGTAGTGTGTTAGCACTGTAATCCTATAGCTCAGCACGTTGTATATGCCCTTCGGGAGGCGAGATAGTGGACTTAATCCCTATTATCTAGACGTAAAATGAATACCAACCAACCAACCAACCAACCAACCTGTAAATCCCAACGTTATGCTTAATAGGTTCTGCTACACCACCCCTAACAACTTATGATTAGTCTCCTCTAGTTCTACAGTTTATTCTACAGAGAATTAGCTTAAGGCTTGCACTACACTTCAGGCAGAGGTGAAGGATTTGCGCAGTGTAGGCGCGCAGAAGCTAGGTTAAACTATCCACTATCTATTATCTTAAGTAGAGTTGCTTTAAGTTAAAGTAGAAAGCCTATATAAGAAGCTATACTAAAACAGGAAGCATAAGAAGCAACCTAACAGGCACCTAGACCTGTAACAACACTAAGAGTATTATAGAGGTGTAATAATGTAGTCTCCTCAGTCCTTCCAGGAGGCGCGCGCTCACATAGCTGTTGCAGACCACAAGAGGCAAGAGGAGGAGCAAAAAAAGGCAGAGACAAAGGAGCAAGCTGCTGCTAATAAAATCTACAATAAGAAGATAGCAAGAGAAAAGCGTAAGCAGCAGGCAGAGAAGAAAAAAGCAAGAGACTAGGCCAAGGCAAAGAAGCAAGCAGCTATTAATGCTTGCAAAGAGCAGAGACATAAGGATAAGGAAGCTTACAACGCTAAAAAAGCTCTTAAATTATCCTAAAGAGGCAATTACACATCCTTAAAAGCTTCTGTAGTTAAACAGAAGCCTCTGCGTTATGATGTAGGTACTTGTAGTTATCCTAAGCCTGCAACACCTCCTCTGCTACGCCTAACTATTATCACCTAGAGTGGCCGCACTGCCACAAAATACTAGTAACTTTGTATTAGGAACTTTGTTGCATAGGTCTATAGAATGCTCTATCAAAATATCTCACGATAATAACTATTGTAGGTGGCTCTACAGCCTCAATTTTGTGATGGCCGTACAGGCTCGGAACGATCGTTGGTTGACTCCGATCGTTGGGTGCACGGACACGGTAGCACCGGCAGCCCACACGAAGTCCTTCCAGCCTGCGGAGAGCACTACGCGACGGAATTCACATAACTTAGAAGTCACCACAACACCAGTCGATAAGCCCTAGAACTCACAAGCGCTTTCCGCTTGAAGCCATGCAAACCGGCGGGCAAGCGCCAGATAACGGCGTCGGGAAAGCGCAACCCGTTCTGATTTGCCTGATCGGGATACCTCTCCCCACACGATGAAAGAGCCCCGCGCTGTTAGCGCCACTGTGACCACAAATCGTGGCCGAGAACGGGCCAGGATTTCGCGATAGTCATTGGAGCTGATGTAGTATAAAGATGGTAGGCTGAAGGGTTATTTGAAGGGTACTGCCATCTCGCTCTTAACTTACGACGCAACGGAATTGGAGAAGTAGATACAATGGCAGCGTCAGAGCCATCATACCTCATCGTTGGAGCCGGTGTTTTCGGTGTTTCTACTGCCTACCACCTGATCAAAAAGTATCCTAACCGCCAGATCACTATTCTCGACCAGGATCCGTACGATGGCGACAATCGCGTAGCTGCATCATGGGACTGGAACAAGGTTGTGCGTGCTGATTACGACGACATCGTATACACTGAGCTCGCCCTCGAGGCTCAGGATGTGTTCAACGAAGACCCTCTCTGGAAACCTTACTTCCACCAGACCGGTATCTTCTGGGTGTGCCGCTCAGACTATGCCCAGGACGTCATCAACAACTACAAGAAGCTTGGACGCGTCGCCGACCTCAAGGCTGTGTCTGTTGAGGAAGCTAAGAAGCTATTCGGAGGCCTCTTCGAGGATGCAAACTATGACGGCGCGAAGGAAGTGCTAGTTAACAAGACAAGTGGCTGGTCGGAAGCCGGCAACGCCTTGCGAGCTGTGACCAAATGGTCAATAGAGAAGGGTGTCAAGTACGTCGTGGGAAAGGCTAAGAGCCTGGAGTTCGACAGACACAACACATGTACCGGTGTCACAACAGAAGACATGGTGCTGCGTGCAGCCAATGTCATCCTGTCGACCGGAGCCTATACTGGCAAGCTCCTGGAACAGGCTGCAAAGGCAAGCGGTAACAAGAATCTCCGAGCCGGACACAGAATTGTTGCTGGTGGTATCACCACTGGCATGACTACTCTCGACGAGAAGTCATACGAGCGTTTCAAGGACATGCCCGTCGGTGTGCAGGGATACAACGCCCAAATTGGTCCTTTCATTGGCAGCTTGCCTCCTACCAAGGACCGCGAGCTCAAGTGGTGGGGAGAGAAGATCTTCAAAAACACACATGAGGCCGTCCCCGGCAGCTGGATCTCAGCGCCACCGACAGGGAAGGACTACAACCAGTGGGATGTACCTGGGCCACTCAAACTTGACATCGATCACGCAAACGACGTCTTCTACGGCAAGAATGGTGCCAACTGGAAGATGGACAAGCATCGCATCTGCTGGTAAGTTTCCTCTCCCCCCTCAGCTTGATTGCACATACTGACAACGACCAGGGATGCTTTCACGACAAGCTCCGACTTCATAATCTCGCCACACGCCGCGGCAAAGGGTCTGTACATCGCCACATGTGGCTCGTTCCACGGCTACAAGTTCTTCCCAGTCCTGGGCAAGTACGTTGTGCAGATGTTGGAGGGCAATTTGAGGCCAGACCACAAGGAGAAGTGGGCCTGGGATCGGGAGAGGCCTTCTCCTTCTCTGAACCCCGACTGGCCAAGATTCGAGATGAGGGATCTGTTGGATCAGTGGCCCAAGGCGAAGCTGTAGTGGATAGCGAAGCAAACTAAGTGAAGCGTTTGGGAAGGTACATCTAAGCATTAAATGCGCGGCATTTGAACCACAATTTGGTCTTTGGTAGAGACACACCAGCAACATGATATTGCATGCCAAACAAGCGCAACGAAATAACATGGGAAGTATGATCAGCAGCGTAATAATTAAGCTCAGACTCTGTCTACTGTTGCTGACCTTTCTGCATCCCATGCGGCGCTAGTACTGCTAGCGAGCACCCCACAGCTCCGCACAACCCACACCTGAACAGAACTTGTATTAGCAAATAAAAAGTGCAAAAAAAGATTCGTCGCTAATTATTGGCGGTACCTGGTACTTATTAGACACTGAGGAGGAGAGCCATGATGAAGGGGAGTGAACTAACCGTGAATCGAACACGGGCTGGCGCGGATCTGGATCAGAACACTAGGTGTTCGCCAGCCACAACGCGACGTCATACCACTAGACTATGGGGTTGTTAGTCGCTGGGGTGGACAGTGAGAGCGATTGAGAGCTTACCCATACCACCTCGATTGGTGAGCATCTTCTGATGCTTTGATGAGTCATCGAAAAATTATTGGACTAATATACTTAAAGACAAACGAGGGTTTCCACCACCGTGCACGGCAGCCCTGTAAGAACAATTCTAGTGAGTGATAGTGTGGGTCGATTCATGATACTATGGTATCCGGCAAAAGTAGTGTACATTGGCCAGTGCACGTCAGGGGTGTTGCCTTGGGACAGCGAAATGGCTCTATTAACTAAAAATACTCCAAATAACGTACCTCACGCGCGAGCCGATCACTCTGCCAAGACCACATCAATCTGCCACCCTATTATGGCCTGCATTAGCCCACGTTGGCCTTTTATTTAGTAGTAACGTACCTCACGGGCGAGTGGCCGGATTTTGCTAAGACCCCACCAAACTTCCACTTCTCTTGTACGTTACAGTAAGTCACTGTAACTTACTATAACTTATAGTATACAGCACTAATCTACAGTAGCTTACGTATCTTTTATGCACGTTTGCGCGTTCTGCCCTGCCTTACCACATGTGCCACAGCTTTGTAAAGACTGTGTAACGTAGATTATCACTAAGCCGACCATATCACCAAACCAGCCATTTTCTCTTAGCACAACTAACACAAGTTACTATAACTACAACTACTTACTATTAAATAGTAACCTAGTAACGTAAAGCACCACCGAGCCGGACACACCACCGAGCCAGACACTTTTTCTTGGCATTGTGAACACCATGTACGGGACAAGCAATTACTTACTACTTACTACTTGCTACAGAACCTGCGTACAACGCACTTGCATCAGATGCAGACTCTTCTTCTGTATCTTTCTAGCACGTACGAGCGTTGTGCCTAGTCTTCCCACAGTTGCTACGGTGCTGTTGACCTGGCTGTGCTCTTTCTTAACTACTACTACCACGCGCTTTCTTTAACACTGTACGAGCTGCAGCTACGCTTCTAGCTACTAACAATGCTGCTTCACTATACTCTATTGTGCCCCTATACTAGATCTACTTTCTTTTTTAAGTCTTGCGCTTTATTATCTCTGCAAGTTACTCTTTAAGCTCCTGTACACAAGCCTTAATAAGCAAATTTTTATATAGCATCTCTTTAGCTCCTTTAACAAGCTTTAAGAGCCCCTCCTAAGTAGATATTAGTAACTATATAAAGCGCTTACTTATAAGCTTTAATTATAACCTAAATTTGTAGGTATTGCTTAGGGTTCTAGATTACTATAGTGTTTCTAGTAGAGGTATTAGTAGAGGAGTATAAAATTACACTTTAAGCTAATTAAGGACTGCCTGCGTGTTAATAGGGACTAGCCCTAATGCCTTAAAGGCCTTTTTACAGTTCTTGTACGTGAATATATTAAAAAACACGTCTCTAAAGGCTAGAAGGAAGCCTTCTTTATTAATATAGAAGACATGTTAGGATGCTAAGGCTTATATGTGTTAGGAGTACCTTAGTTTTAACAGTAAGAAACACACAATAGTAAGTAGCTAAAGTATATGTGATACGTAAGGAGGCATACAGAGGGTAAGGATTCTATTCTTCTAGTAGTAGTCCTTAAATGTAACGGGCTAGGCCCGATGGTAGCGCCTTGGCCAACCTCCGAGAGGAGGTGCCTGCCCAGCTGTACCCCCAGTAAGGAGGTCCCAATCTTGACTAATTGTGTAACCTCCGCTCGGAGGACATAAAAGTCTGCAGACCTCCGCCTGCAGCCACTCCCCAACAAATCCATTTGATTCATACTTGCAAATAGCCCGCAGAGGCCAGCTCCTTACTGTAACGGTCTAGACTCTAAAGCTAAAGAAGAGCTAGAGCTAGCCGGTTACATTAGCTTAGCCGGCTTGGCTAAAGCTGGATATATATTACCTACGCAGTTAACAAGACGTCTAGTTAACTTGTGCATGCTTTTTAGCAAAAGTTGTTAGGAAGTAGATATCCTTTATTGGCCTTTGGCCAGACTACTACACTTACATTAAATTCCTAGTTAAGGTGGCTCTTATAGCTGTCCAAGATAAGCAGCCTGTACAACCCCCTCTAACGCGCTCTTATATGCGCGTTAAAATGCTTTAACTACTTAAGACTAAGCGCATTGTTGGTCTATCTGTTCTTAGAGACTAAGAGCTTCTAGCTGTATAGGATATTAGTCTCCTTATACTAGGTAGAGATATAGACACGCCCTTTGTAGATAATAAAAGGTATAGTTGCATACTTAATAGCATAGATACTCTAGATAACTGTAACCTACTCCTAATTACCTAGCTAAATAAGGTTTAGCCTTGTACGCCTCTCTAAGCCTGTAACAACCTTTATTAAGCTAATTACTTCTATCTAAAAGCTAGTCTTATTAAAGTTATAGATGTCCTTATCTAGGACCCTATACTTGTCTTTTATCTCCTGTTTAAGCTTAAACTACGCGCTAATTACCTCTAGATCTTCCTAGAGTATTCTCTTACAGTCCTTTGCTTAATTAAAAGCTATTTTAAGCTCCTTTATACGTGACACAAATTAATTAGCCTAGTTCTTACTAATAGGTGTCCTACTATGTAAAGCTAATAGTTTGTCTATAATATCTACTACCTTACACAGCTAGGGGGCAAATCTGCGCGAATTAAGGTTAAGGATATATTATACAATTATTTACTCTTCTATTGCATAGAACGTATAGCTGTTAGGTGGTGCTTCTTATTAAAATGTGTAAAGAAAGTAGGGGAAGGACTAGACTACTTTCTTCCTAGTCTAGAAGGACCTAGACAAATCTAGACTAGCTTTGTCTAAATAGGAAGCGTATAGCCTAATAGAGGTAAGGTAGGGTTATGTAATATAATAGACAAGTTATTATATTAGATACTAGGGAAAGATTCCTAGGCTAGGTACAGAGCAAACAGAGGGGGAGAGCTAGAGGTATTTATGCTTCCTCTCCTCTGTCTGTATTTCTAAGCAGAACGTTCTAGACTCCTCTAGGTGGGTCTACTTCATCTATGCTTAGTATTGCTGCATATGCAAGCAAGATTACATAGGTGTTTGCGTAATCATATACGTCAGCATCTTATAGAGTAGGCTACTCTATTTGTAAGCAGAGGGTCTAGAACATTTCTAGTTACTAAAAATAGAGAACAGCATATCTTAAGAACAAGAGGAGATACAGGCTTTGTAAGCACACCATTCTAATCCTCTCTTCTTAGACATTACAATAGCAATGCTTAGGTAAGCATAGCGCTATACCTAAGAGGGAAATACGCTAGATAAAGATTATAAGAACAAAGTCTTATAACTTTACACACCCCCTTAATCTTTATTCTAGCAATTTATATGCTTTGTCTAAGAGATAGCAATTTAGATTCTCTTTTTAGTAGACAAGCATTATAGCTTAGTAATAATAGTAATGCAATTTAGTCCTCTTATATATAAGGTAGCACTAGTAGTCTTTCTTTAGATCTACTAGGTTTATCCTACTAGTAAACTGTTTAAATTTGGCGTTACTAGTAGGCTTAGTTAGATTGTCTGCGAGTATAGTACTAGTGTTCTCATATACTAGTTCTATATGTTAGCTTAGCAGGTTTTCTCTAACAAAATGATAAGTTATATCTACGTGCTTAGTCCTAGCATGATAGATAGGGTTTTTAGCTAGTTCTATAGCACTAAGACTATCTGTTTTAATAACATTAAGTTTATTAAATATAGAGTAGTCTTTAGTAGAGCTATTAATAAACAGCTCCTTTATAACATTTTGTAGATATAAGCTTTCTTTAGTAGCTTCCTTTAAGGACATATATTCTGCTTCTGCAGAACTAAGAGCTACTATTTTTTGTAGTTTAGAAAGCCAGCTAATAGCTATGTATTTACTACTAGCCACGTTTTCTAAGCTAAATATATTGCCTATAGTAGACCTTCTAGAATCTAGATCACCCCCCCAATCTGCGTCAGATATGCCTACTAAATTTATAGGCTTTAAAGTCCTAGCAGACTGCTTAGATTCTAGAGTAAGATCTAATCCTAGATCTTTAGTCCTAACAATATAACTAAAGACATAGTCTAGGTACTTATAGTGCTCTAGACTAGGATTAGACATAAACCTAGCAAGGTAGTTAACACTATATACTAGGTCAGGCCTAGGAAAGATTGTTAAGTATATTAGACTACCTATTTGCTGTTAAAAGTCCTTTAGTATAGTACTTTCTTCTAGGTTTTTGCTTAGTTTTATACCTATAGGCAGAGGTATATATTTAGGCAAGTTATCTTGCTTATTATACTTTTTAAGTATATTAGCAATAAAGTTCCTTTGTGTTATAATTAGAGACTTCTTCTTTCTATCCCTAATTATCTCTACACCAAGGAACTCTCTAATCTCGCCTAGATTTGTAACTTCTAATTTAGAAGTAGTAGTTAGGTCTTTATAGAGACTCTGTACAAGGCTTATATCTTTTGCAAATACTAGTATATTATCTACATGTGTTGCTAGGACTATAGGCTTGTCCTTGTGCACAAATATACTAGTATCTATTCTTAGACTACTAAATCCTAGCTTTTGTAGAATATTAGTTAAGAATAGCTACTATTATCTACTAGCTTGTTTCAAGCCATACAGAGCTTTGTTTAACTTGCATACTATAGTAGAGTAGTTCTTATCTTCTATAGCAGTACAAATAGATTTTAGAAGATCTTTATCTGTAGTCTCTTCTTTAGCTCGTTGTAGTATGTACTTTTCTAGGCCTATAGGCAGTTGCGTATAGATGTTATCTATATCTATATCTGCATTAGGGAACGCTTGCTTTACATCCCATGTGTAGATTTCCCAATCTAAATAGGCAAATATAGATAGAAGTAGCCTAATTAAGCTAGGCTTGCTAGTAGATGCAAAGGTTTCTTTATAGTTTATACTATACTTTTGTAGAAAGCCTTTAGCAACCCACCTAGCTTTATACTTCTTAATAGTATTGTCTAAGTTATATTTCTTAGTAAGAACCTACCTGCCTTTTATAACAGAGGTAGTCTTTAGTCTCTTAATAATAGACTAGGTATTACTTTTAATTAGATCCTCTACCTCTACTTGCATAGCTTTTAGGTAGAGGTCTTTATTACTTCTAAGTAACACCTCCTTTAGGCTTCTAGGTTCTTCTAAGTTATTGCTATTAGAAGTAGCAAGTATATTCTCTAGTATTGCTTTATTATATAGAGATATCCAGTCTTGCTTGCTATTTACTTCATTAATAGCATTTGTAGTAATACTATTTTAACTAGTGTCTTCTTTAATAATAGAAGTGTAGACAGCTAGTTTATCTTTAGAACTATCCTCTAGCTCTTTTACTCTAGGCAAGTTATCTATTGCACTAGAAGTAGAAGGTTTCTTATTAATAACGACCTTAGGATTTCTTCCTATAATTCTATACATAGAGCTACTAGATCTATTAGGCTGTAGTCTAGTAAATACTCTCTAAATATTATTGTTGTTATTAGGCTTAACGTGGTTTATCACCGAGCCGCCAGGTATCACCGAACCGCCACCCCTCGCCAATTTTGCGACTGTTACGATAATTATTACAATGCCATCACAACGCAACGCGCAATCACCCTATAACGAAGGTACACTATACCTTGCTATCCAAGCTACAAAAGCTACTGTGCCTGACAGTATAAATCACGCGTCTAAGGCCTTTGGTGTTCCCCAATCAACGTTAAGAGACTAATGCGTAGGAGGGCTTGCACGACGCAATCGCGAGGCCAATTCAAAGAAGCTAACAAAGGTAGAAGAGGAGGCAATAGTTAACCGTATACTTGAGCTGGACAGGCAAGGAATAGGCGCAACAAAGACTATGGTGCAAGATATGGCTAATGATCTGCTTGCTGCACGTGGTGAAGGACCTGTTGGCAAGCTCTAGGTAAACAGGTTCAACACGCGTACCCAACAAATCAAGCTTTGACGTAGCCGACCGTACAATTGTTAACAAGCCCTGAATGAAGATACACGCGTTATAACACCCTAGTTTAAGCTAGTTAGGAATACAAAGGAGAAGTACAGAATCCTGGATGGAGATACCTACAACTTTGATGAGACTAGGTTTATAATAGGCATAATTAGGTCTAAGATGGTGTTCACAGGCTCAGAGAAGCGATCTGACCCTAAGAATATCCAGCCTGGCAATTGGGAGTGGGTTACAATCATCATTGGTGTCTGCGCTGCTGGCTAGGCTATCCCACCCTTCATTATCTTCCAAGGCAAGGTCCTGATTACAACCTAGTACCCTAATCTGCCTCGCAATTAGGTAATTGCGACTAGCAAGAATAGCTAGACAACAAACAAGCTTGGTCTAGAGTGGTTAAAGCACTTTAACGCGTCTACAAAAGAGCGTACTGTTGGCGCCTACTGTCTACTTATTATTAATGGCCACAAGAGCTACAACTCTGCAGAGTTCAAGGAATACTGCGCAGAACACAAGATTATTACCTTGTGTATGCCCCTACACTTATCGCACCTGTTGCAGCCGCTTAACGTGGCCTGTTTTGGCCCCTTGAAGAGGGCGTACTTAATTAAGGTTGACACCTGGTCACAATACTTAAAGACACAAATCAAGAAAGAGTTCTTCCTTACTAGCTTCTAGACAGCCTATTACAAGGCTATTACAAAAGACAATATCCACA